AATTGAAATTAAACAATAAAATTCAATGTACTATTTCTAAGGAAGACAGATATCCATGTGTCCTCCAGTCCATATCCAGAACAATTTTAGAAATCATTTATTTAAAATTCCTTGGAGTTCAAAATGAAACAGAGTTTTACCTTATACATGTATAATCTCTGTGCCTCTTTAATATCATATATCTTCCTAGACTTAATGTAAGTCCCACTTGCCCTTGTATTTCAGTCTCTGTCATCAGTATATTAGTCCAGGCCCTTGATTGGTCACTTAGAACTTTTACTAATTAGGTTTCTTTTCTCAGCATGGGATTTTTGGGGTTTATTCTAATTGATGACAAATAATGTTTAGCATTCTTTTCCTACTGTGGATTTATTCCTCATTGTTTTTTGTTGTTGGTGGTGGTGGTGGTGGTGTTTTTTGTTTGTTTGCTTGTTTGTTTGAGTTGGAGTCTCACTCTGTCACCCAGACTGGAGGGCAGTAGCCGCTCCTGGCCACTGCAGCCTCGACCCACTGGGCTCCGGCGATCCTTCCACCTCAGCCTTCCAAGTAACTGGAATTACAGGCACGCGCTACCATGCCTGGCTGATTTTTTGATTTATTGTAGAGATGAGGTCTCGCCAAGTTGCCCAGGTGGGTCTCGAACCCACGGGCTCAGGCAGTCCACTCACCTCAGCCTCCCAAAGCATGGGATTACCGGCTGAGCCACCAAGCCCAGCTTGATTCCTCATTGTATATTCACAGTTCTCATTTTGATGACTAGGCCTTAACTCATTCTCTTTGCCTTTCCTAAACCTTAGTTTGCCCAGACAAATCACTGAAGACCCATGGAAACCCCTTTTATCTCCTCGTATCACTAACCCTTGTAAGTTTATGTTTGTTTGAGGGTCCACATTCTATAAAGTAGAATTCTTTCTCACATTTACCATTTGCTCACAAATATTTATGGAGTATCCAATCTATTTGCAAAGTACGACTACACGGCGGTATTCACCATGGCTGGGGTTGAGGGAGGGAAGAAAGTGAATTGGATTTGCTGTACACCCTTGAACTGCATAGAGTTTTGTTCAAAAAGTAGGAAGGCACACAAAGCATTTTTATATTCAGTGGTAAAGAACAAATGTCTCCAGCTTTCAAAACTATCATTGGTGAAATTTCATCTCCAGCGGGAAGTTTTTTTAGGTTAATCAGGGGGAGAAAAAGCACCTCCATTCTTCAAATGCACACATGCTTGGCCTAGCTATGTTGTCACGTGCTGATGGGATTAATATTTTAGTACAAGTCAAAAGGTCCTGACCTGAGTTCTGAGTTCTGACCTCAACAGACTCTAAATAGTCTGCCTCCCATACTGTTACTGCTTTGAACGTGCTGTCCTGATTGATGATGAATTATTTTGTACTTAAAATGCAAAGTTCTTTTCATGTCCCAAGTAACATGAAGCATTTTTCCCCAGGATGAATGTTATTCATTTTGCCTCTTTGAGCAAGATGTACCCATCATGTTACATGACTAAACGATCTGATAAATATTACTAGAGTACCATATATTCTCAATTGTAGCAAAAGCAATTGTGACCCAGATGCAGCTGGAAACACTCTTCCTCTTAAGAACTAAGTAAAGTGGATCCAACATCCCCATTCACTAGATTTTAAAAACAAATTGTCTCCACTACATTATTTTGTGGAGCTTACATTCTTATGTTTATTTTTAGCACTGAGCTCTTGCTTATGCTATATTATTTCAGTTTAGGGTGATCTTACCTAGACCAGACATGGTGGTTCATGCTTGTAGTCCCAGCAATTTGGGAAACTGAGATGGGAGGATTGCTTGAGCTCAGGAGTTTGAGGCTGTGGTAAGCCATGGTCCTGTCAAGCACGGCAGCCTGAGCAACAGAGTGAGACCCTGACACAAAAACCAAAAACAAGCAGACAAAAAACAAAAGGAAATGGTCTTGTCATCTCATGCAACTGAACCTGGCCCATGCAGATAGGGTGTATTGTCTTATCAGTGTATTGTCCTTTTCCTCAAGGAAAAGATGTTTAAGGGTAACATAAAGTAATTTATTTTTAAATCTGTCTCCTTTCACCCAAAAAGCCACAAATTTGTTGTTATACAAAGTAGATAGTGATGAGGAAAGTAGATGTGTTCACTAGTAAAATGAAGATAACAATAGCCTCTCTTTAACAGGATTATTATTTTATTTGTTTATTTATTTATTTTTATAGTCTAGGTCTCATTCTGTCACCAGGTAGGAGTGTAGTGGCAAGATCACTGCTCACCACAGATTGGACCTCCTGGGCTCAGGTGGTCCTCCTGCCTAAGTCTCCCGAGTAGCTGGAACTACAGGTACGTGCCACCATATCTAACTAATTTTTTATTTTTTGTAGAGACGATGTCTCGCTGTGTTGCTCAGGTTGGTCTCAAACTCCTGGGCTCAAGCAATCCTCCTGCCTCGGCCTCCCAAAATGCTGGGATTACCGTTATGAGCCACCACTCCTAGCCTCCTCATAGAATTTTTTTAAGGGCAAATTATAATTTAATTCATATAAATTGCTTAAAATAACCTAATGCAACATATAGTGTTGCTGATTAATTAATTAAAAGATATTTAAAGGCCTTTGACCATTTCCAAATTCATGCTTTGTATGATTTGGTTCTTGTAAATTTCTTTCTTCCTAGCACCCTGCCCTAAAACCTTGCCAAATTTCTATTTTAATTTATATTATTTTTCAAATATAGAGCCAGTTCATCATTACTTTGGTGGCCTTAGCCATATATGGCCAATAGCCTTTAGAGTCACTATTCCAAGTGGTTAATCAACGTATTTTCCTGAACTAGGTCACATTCCTCCTAAAGGAAATTCTGGAAGCAAAGGGCTACACAAGCCAAGTATATATTATACATATGCTCATATGTAAGTATGTATCTGTGTATGAGCATAATTTATACGTGTGTATAGTCAGTTGTTTCCAGAATTGTGTGTATTTAATATCCTTAATTTACATAATGCAGTGTGATCCCATTTAGCTACATACTTTTGAAGGTGGTACTCTAATGTGTCATCACACTTTATGAGAGACTGACTTGTGCTGAAGTCACTCGCTGAGGGCAACGAGTGCAGAATCGGGCTTCTAATAAGCCTCTGCCTCCTCCCTGAAGCCCAAGCTCCTACTATATCTGCTCAGTTATCTGTGTGATCTCATTTGATCCTCACAGCAATCTCATGAGGCTAGAACTATTGTTATCACTTTTTACAAGTAAGAAACCTCAGGGCATGGAGAGGTTAACTGATTTGACCAAGATCATACGGTTAGTGTCAGAGCCCAAACCATACATTCTGCCTTTCTTAAATTGACTTTTTAACAATTGTACTGTATGAACTCCCATCCCAAAATAGAGGAGGTCAGATAAAAAGTCCCAGGATCCATGTTAAACACATTGTTAGGTTGATTTGTTCTAACAATGCCACTTAAAAGTCACAGTCATAAGGAAAACAATTCCCTAAAGGAATTCTGCAGGACCCCTTGGGAAGGCTAGCAGCTCAGCCAAACTTAGCTCATGGAATATAGAGTGTAAAGGCACTTGCCTCTTAGCAATAGCCTTCCTGTTGATTCAGAAGATGCAAATGAACTGTTAATGTTAAAACCAAGTGGGAGAAACTACTTATTTTGAGAGGAAAAACATAGTATAAGAGCCCTACACTAAAATACTGTTAATGTAAGGAGAACCGGAAGAACAAGAATGGCACGCTTTAGAGAAAAATCACAGCTGAAGATGGAGCTTAATAGTTTAATAGCACACACACAGAAAAACCCAAAGAATTTGTGTGCGTGTGTGTGACCCCAGTCTAGCCGGTGGCTCGCAGCCTTCTGATGAAAGCGCAGTGTGTGAAGATGACTAGCTGACATTCTCTGCTGAAGATCAGTCGCACACAAGGGTGACCGTGAGATGCACGAAAGGCTATTTAATGCCCCAGCGAAGTGGTTCAGGGACCAAGATTTTATTATGCTTCGGGGATGAGAGTTGTGATCCCGCATCCCTGATTTAGAGCCACTTAGGGCTCCGACAGCTCCGCCCCGGTGTTCTAGAGGAAAATATTCCTTCATGCTCTCTGCCTAAGCTGAAAGCGACACAGCTTCCCGATGTTCCGCCTGGGAGGTGGTTCAATCTTTGGAAATTGCCGGAGCCAGCCTGTCCATCCGCGAGGGGTGCCTGGCTTTCTGGAACGGACCAGGATGAGCTCGACTTTTAATCTGAGTAACTTGAGGCTTTTCTATTTGTAACTTAAAATCGGAGCTTAACAACAACAACAAAAAAGTGACACGCGCTCTGGCTTTTGGAGACACTGGGAAAATCCGTATGACGAAGTACGGTCTAGAAATTCCTGATTTAATCTACCCCCGGGGAAAAGCCAATACCTTTTATTTGGTACTGGGCAGTCGACCCAAGTGGTCTGCCTGTCAAAGACGGGGTGTGTCATCCAGGGCATGGGGAGAGGAAACGTGGGGGATGGGGAGCAAGAGGGAGAAAATCAATCCCGTGGGTGCGTTGTCCCCGGACCACCAGGAGCTGTGCCTGTAACTCCCAGGAGGCGAGTTTCCACCTCTGCCAACGCCCCCTGCCCCTTCCTCCCCCACCCCTTTTCTCCCAAGATGCGCTTCCCACCCTCACTGCCCTGTCCCATTACTCTTGAGAGGATAGGGAGGCTGCAACACGACCGCGGGGAAAAGTCCCCTGGGAATGAGCCGGTGGGATGGCCTCATGCGGGCAAGAAGAGGGCAGTCGGTATTTTTGAACCTCAGTGAGGCTGGGTGGGTAGTTGCAAGCGAGAGCCCACATCACGAGGCCGCTGGGACCTTCCGGGAGAGCGTGTCCCTCCCGCCGGCCCCGCCCCCACTCCACGGAGCGCGCGGCTCCCTTGCCTGCTCCTGATTGGCGGGCGTGTCCGGGAGGGGCGTGGCCCGGACGAAGCTCCGCCCACCTGGACTCCGGCCGGGGCGCGCGCTTCTCCCACACCCCTGAGCTGCGCTCGGTCTCGGACTCGGTCCTGCAGCGCCTCTAGGCTGCGGATCCGCGCTCCAACCACCTGCTCCACGCTGCGTCCAGGCAAGCGGGGAGGAGACGAGAGGGAGGGAGGAGGCGGGTGGGAGGAGGAGAGAGGCAGCTTACACACGCCTCCCAGTCCCTCCACTCAGAGCAGCCCGGAGACCGCTGCCGCCGCCGTCGCCGCTGCCGCTGCTGCCACCTGAGGAGACCCGCGGCCCCTGTCGCCACCCCCGGCGACTCCTCCTCCCTAGCACTGGGCTTTTTGTGCACACCGCCACTACCATTCTCATTAGCATTCCGAGAGAAGGAAAATAAGATACCAGCCAAAAAGAACCACGTACACCTTTCCGAATTACTCAAGTGTCTCCCGGAAAGAGAGGGTCGCCGGTCCCCGGAGAAGCAGCCGAAGGGACCCGGGGCGGGTGCTGACCGGGCGGGAGGAGGAGTTGGGGGCGTCGCGTGGTGGAAAGTTGCGTGCGGCGGAGACCCGGAGGCGCAGCGCCGGAGCCCGGGGGACCGAGTGTCGGGGAGACGACGCTGCCCCCTGCGTCGGGACCCGCCAGCGCGCGGGCACCGCGGGGCCCGGGACGACGCCCCCTCCTGCGGCGGGGACTCTGCCAGTGGCCCGCGAAGAAGGAGGAGGAATATGGAACCCACGGCAGCCCCCTCCTGCCGCCTGCTCTTCTGCCTCTTGATCTCCGCGGCGGCGCTCAGGCCAGGTGAGCAAGGGCCGGGGAGCCGCCCGGGACGCACGGGGGCCGGGGGCCGTTTCCCAGGTCCCCGCCCCCGGCCGGCCTCGCACACCCCCGGGGCA